ACTGTTCTGTTAAATGGGTCCATTAGTGAAGACAGAACTTATTTGTAAAATGTTCATTAAAATTATAGAGACTTCATGATAGAAAGTAATAGATACAAGAAAAAGAAATAGAATGACATAGATAGAAAGAAAATATTATGACAAATTCATAAAATGTATTTTCAAATCAAATTATAAGACAAAGGGCTTCTAAAATCAGTAAGTAAAAAACCAATACCTAACAGAAAAACAAGCAAAGGATATGAAATGACATTTCACAGAAAAGAAATATGAATGGGGCCTTAGATATATAAAAAGAAATTCAACATCACTCAGGAGAAAAACATATTAAAACCATATGAAGAAAACGAGAAAGATCTTACATCAACAACCTAACTTAACAACCTAAGGGATTAGAAAAAGGATAATAAACGAAATCCAAAATTATCAGAAGGAATGAAATAATAAGGGTTAAAACAGAGATAAATGAAATAGAGAAAATAAAAATAGAGAAAGTTAATGAAACCAAAATTTGGTTCTCTGAAAAAAAATCAACAAAATTGACAAACCTTCACCTAGATGGTTTAAGGAAAAAAACTCAAATTACTAAAATCATAAATGATAATGAGGACATTAATATCAATTCTGCAGAAATAAAAAGGATTGTAACAGAGTACTGTGAGTGATTAACTGTATGCCAACAAACTGGATAAACCAAACGCAATGGACAAGTTACTAGAAACATAAAACCTCGATCTAAATCATGAAGAAACAGAAAATCTGAGCAGACCTATCAGTAAGAGACTGAATCACTAATCAAAACTCTGCCCTTTAAAAAAGCCCTTGCCCTGGACCTGATGGCTTCACTGGTGAATTCTACCAAACATGTTAAAAACAAAAACAAAGAAAGAAAAAAACGAACACCAATCCCTTTCAAACTTTTCCAAACACCGAAAGAGAAGAAACTACTCTTCCTAAGTCATTCTATGAAGCAAGCATTATTTGATACCAAAGCCAGACAGCACAAGAAAACTACAGACCAGTATCTTTGATGCCAAAATCCTCAACAATAGTTACAATCTGAATGCAGCAGTATTTTAAAAGGATTATAATCTATGACCATGTAGAATTTATTCCTGGAATGCGAGCATGGTTCTATATTTGAAAACTGATCAATGTAATATACATTAACAGAATAAAGGGAAAAACCCATACTCATCTCAATTGATGTCAAAAAAGCACATGACAAAATTCAGTATCTTTCATGATTAAAACACAAAAAACTAGGAATGGAAGAAAACTATTGAAAGAACACTATTTCAACATAATAAAAGCTATATAGTAAAAACTGATAGCAAACATTATACTCAATGGTGAAAGACTGAAAGCTTTTCCTCTAAGATCAGGAACAAGGCAAGGATTCCACTTTCCCCACTTTTATTCAACAGAATACTGGAAGTTACAGCCAGAGGAATTAGGCAAGGAAAAGAAATACAAGGCATCCATATTGGAAAGGAAGGTAAAACTATCTCTGTTCACAGGTGACATAATCTTGCATGTAGAAAATCCTAACAATTCCACAAAAAACTTGTTAGAACTATTGAGTAAATTCAGCAATGTATTAGGATACAAAGTCAATACACAAAAATCTGTTGCATTTCTATGACGCATTAACAATGAACAATCTGAAAAGGAAATTATGGAAACGATCCCATTTATGACAGTATCAAAAAGAATAAAATACTCAGGAATTAACCAAGGAGGTTTGTGAAAGACTTGTATAATAAAAATTACAAAACACTGCTGAAAGAAATTGAAGAAGACATAAATAAATGGCAATACATTTCATGTTCATGGTTTGGAAACCTTAATATTGTGAAGATGTTAATAATACTCAAAGTGATTTAGTGATCTACAGATTCGATTCAATCCCTATCAAAATCACATTATTTTGCAAAAGGAGAAAAAGCCACTCTGAAGTTCATATAGAATCTCAAGGGACCACAAATAGCTTAAAGAATCTTAAAAAGAAGAAAAACCTGGGGGACTCACACTTCCAGACTTCAAAACTTAATACAAAGCCACAGTGATCAAAACAGTGTGGTGCTGTTATGAATAATGTGTGGATAATGAAAGACATATATAGACCAATGGAATGGAATATAGAGCTCAGAAATTAATCCTGGCATACACGGTCAAATGATTTTGGATCAGGTGCTAAGACACCTTGTGGAAAAGAGTCTTTTCAACAAATAGTGCTGAGAAAACAGGATTATCCACATGGAAAGAATGAAGCTGGACCCTTGCCAAATACCATATACAAAAATTACTCACAGTAGATCAAAGAGCTAAACATAAGACCTAAAACTATAAAACTCGTAAAAGAAAACATGTAGCAAAAGCTTCAAGACAATGAATTTGGCGATATTTCTTGGATATGACCCCAAAGGCACAGGCAATAAAAGAAAAAGTAGACAAACTGGACTTGAAAAATTAAAAAATTTTGTGCATTGGGGCGCCTGGGTGCCTCACTTGGTTAAGCGTCCGACTTTGGCTCAGGTCATGATCTCGCAGTCCATGAGTTCGAGCCCCACATCGGGAGCCTGCTTCAGATTCTGTGTCTCCCTCTCTCTCTGTTTCTCTCAAAAATAAATAAACATTAAGAAAAAATTTAAAAAAAACTTTTTGTGAATGAGAAGACCAACAGAGCTTGAGATTTTTCTCTTTCCTCCTCTCTCTGTGCCTCCCCACCATCCCTCCCACTCTCTCTCTCAAAAAATAAACAAACACTGGGGCGCCTGGGTGGCGCAGTCGGTTGAGCCTCCGACTTCAGCCAGGTCACGATCTTGCGGTCCGTGAGTTCGAGCCCCGCGTCGGGCTCTGGGCTGATGGCTCGGAGCCTGGAGCCTGTTTCCGATTCTGTGTCTCCCTCTCTCTCTGCCCCTCCCCCGTTCATGCTCTGTCTCTCTCTGTCCCAAAAATAAATAAAACGTTGAAAAAAAAAAAAAACAAACATTAAAAAAAAAAGAAGACGTACCAAGAGCCAATAAGCCATAAAAAGATGCTCATACCACTAATCTTTAAGAAAATGCTTATCAAAACTACAATGAGATATCACCTCATACCCATTGGGATGGCTACTATCAAAAAACAAAACAAAAAATAACAAGTGTTGGTGCCATGTGGACAAACTGGAACCCTGTAATACTGCTGGTGGAAATGCAAAACGGTACAGTCACTATGGAAAACAGTATGGTGCTTCCTCACAACCTTAAAAATAGAATTACTATATGATCCCGCAATTCTACTTCTGAGTATATACTCAAAAGGACCGAAGGCAGGGTCTTCAAGAGATATTTATATACCCATGTTCAAATAAATATAAAAAATGTTCATGGCAGCATTACTTACTAGAGCTAATATGTGGAAGCAGACAAAATGCCTGTCAACAGATGAACGGATAAAACAAACTGTGATATACAAATGATGGAATATTATTCAGCCTTTAAAAGGAATGAAACTCTAGACACATGCTAGTGTATGGATGAACCTGGAGGAAACTATACTAAGTGCAATAAGGCAGTCACAAAAAGACAAATACTGTATGATTTATTTTACGCAAGATAATTGGAGTAATCAAAATCATAGAGACATAAAGTAGAACAGTAGTTGCCAGGGGTTGGGGAGGTGAATAGACAGTTGCTGTTTAACAGGTACAAAATTTCAGTTTTGTAAGATGTGAAGAGGTATGGAAATGGATGGTGGTGATCATTGCAAAATATTATAAGTGTATTTGCACCACTGAACTGCACACTTAAAAATGGTTAGGATGGGGGCGCCTGGGTGGCTCAGTCGGTTAAGCGTCCGACTTCAGCTCAGGTCACGATCTCACGGCTCGTGAGTTCGAGCCCCGTGTCGGGCTCTGTGCTGACAGCTCAGAGCCTGGAACCTATTTCAGATTCTGTGTCTCCCTCTCTCTCTCTGACCCTCCGCCGTTCATGCTCTGTCTCTCTCTGTCTCAAAAGTAAATAAACGTTAAAAAAAAAAAATTTTTTTTAAAATGGTTAGGATGAAAAAAATGGTTATGATGGTAGATTTTATGTTCTATGATGTTATGTTATGTTTCTATGATGGTAGAAATTATGTATTTTAACAGAATTCTAACATTTTTTTAAAACCACGGAGATAACTCCACCATCCTACCCTTTATGCAAACCCACTAGAAAGGCAAAAATCTCAGTGTGTTAATATAATAGCGATTTGACAACATCAGTAAAAGAAACCAACTCTTATAATACCTATAAATTTCACTTCAGAGAATTTAAGTTAAAAACACTCGCATGAGCAAAACAGTGTTTTATTCTTCACAACATTATTCATAGTAGCCCCAAACAAGAAACAACCCAAATTCTGACTAGTAGGGACAAGATGAATAAATTATGCTATCTCCATAAAATGGGAAATCAATCAGCTGTAAAAGCAAAGGAAAAGGATGTTGTCTTTGTAATGACATAGAAATAATCACTGAAATTGTTTTAACAGAAGTACAGTTGACCCGCATTACTTTAGTTTCAGGTGTGCAACATAGTGATTTGACAAGTCTATGTGTTATGCTGTGCCCATTCCTCCAGGCAACCATCAGTTTGTTCTCTGTATTTGTGAGTTTTTCTCTGCTTTTTTACTCACTGCATTTTATATAATTTATGTAATATAAAGGAGAAAAGCAAGATGAATAGATAATGTATATATTTTGATACTTTTTGTGAAGATAGAGGAATAAAATACATTTATATCTGCTAGTGATACATATCAACTCTAGAAGGATACACTAGAAACTGGTAGCAGTAATTCCTGTGTGGGGTGTGAACCTGACATCTAGAAGACAATTCTTGGGACATCTTTTATTATGTATGTAAACATGAACATGATTAATTAAAAAGCATCCTAATATTACAAGGTCAGCATATAATTAACATATACTTTATTAATAAACAACAACTACAAAATTCTCTACACCTTACCTGCAAACTAGCCACAAAAGAATCTTCACAGTTCACATAATGTCCTAACATGGCATGTTGTGCCCGTATTTCATTATCCCTTATCCTCTCGTGTAAGTGGCTAATTTGCTGCTTCTGCCTGCAAAACATAAATTGAGGAGACATTATAAAGAATATGCTTTTCTAAGAGACCATTTAAGAGTAGAACTTTATTCCAATAATTTGATGTAAGAGTTAAGAGTATTATCAATATTAACATTCATAATAGGGAAATTTAAAAAACCACCACACCATGGGTTATGCCGAATACAGAAAGGGTATTTATACTGTAGAGTATTTCTTGTGTTTTATAAAATACAGTATTTTGTAGACTATCCTTCTTAGTAATAACAAAGTCATGTTTTGCTTCCTTTCTTCTTGTTACCTAATATAATAAATGTTATGTCCTCAAATTAGAATGCCTTTACCTTAAAATCCATTATTTTCATCCATGCAAATTCTGTTTAACACTGACAGTTCTGAGAATCTCACTGTCAGAGATGAAAGGTATTTTCTCAAATATCATCTAGCCTAACTGCTGTTCTAGGCCTGCATCTTCTCAGCAACATCCTAGGTTACACAGTCTACATACAACCATTGCCAATGATGGAGAACTCACCTGGTGACAGAGTTGCATCTTTGGAAAGCTCAGACGTTTCACTTTAATGGAACTTCATGTTGGAAACAGACACACTGAAGTTCAAATCTTTCCTCAGCAACTCACAGCTTACTTTAATCAAGTTAAACTTTTGTGAATATGTACCCTTATATACAGCTGATGCTTGAACAATGTGGGGGTTATGGGCACTGACCCTCCCTGCCCTGTCATGGAGTTAAAACCGGCATATAATATTTGACTCCCCAACAAGTTAACTACTAAAAGCCTGCTGTTGACTGGAAGCCCTACCAATAATGTAAACAGTTGACTAACACATATTTTGTATGCTCTATGTATTATATACTATATTCTTATAATAAAGCTAGAGAAAATGTTATTAAGAAAATCATAAGGAACAGAAAATACATTTATAGCACTGTATTTGCTGGAAAAAAAAATCCATGTTATAAGTGGGCATATGTAGTTCAAACCTGTGTTGTTCAGGGTCAACTATATTTGAAAATGGTTATGTAGCTGGTATCCTGTTAAGAGCTTTATATGTATTTTTGACAATCTTCAAAAATCCTTTAATAACAAGTCTCATCATAAGGTTATGAGGAAGAAAGGCTTTTAAGAAAAAGTAAGCATACATGTGGGTAAACATATAGCTTGGTATTTTCCAAAATTACTCACAAAGTAACTTTTGGAGCAAGTTAGCTTATAAGTTTCAGACTGAATCAGAGAACTTATTCTACTCTGAGCCATTTAATTTTTTAGATACACTATCCTTAAAGAAAATTCAAATAGAAAACATCAAATAGTAAACAGATAGGGGCTCCTGAGTGGCTCAGTTGGTTAAGCATCCGACTTCAGCTCAGGTCATTATCTTGCTGTTCCTGGCTTTGAGCCCTGCATCAGGCTCTGTGCTGACAACTCAGAGCCTGGAGCCTGCTTCAGATTCTGTGTTTCCCTCTCTGCCCCCCCTGACCTGCCCCCCTAGCACTCTCTCAAAAACAAATAAATGTTAAAAAAAAAAAATAGTAAACAGATAAATTAGGAGAGTCACGACACTTGTCAAAGAATTTCAAGCTTTACCAAGAAAACTAAACTTCCTCTTCTGGCCAAGACAGAGTAATAGACACAAGCTGTGACACAAGCTGTGCCTTTCTGCCTGACACAATTACAAAACGGAACAAAATACAGGAAACAATGACGCTCAAGACACTGGGTATCAGTTAATTAGGAACAGTGACTTCTGAGGGATGGGCAACAAATGAGGTGAGCTCTATGACTGCCAGAGCCTACTGCTGCAGGCCCTACCCAACACAGGGAAAGAGGCCTCTCTCTGAACTGAAAAGACAAAGCTGGGATGCTGGAGAAACCAAGGCAATCAGAGCTCACAGTGCAGAGTCACCCTGAATATTTAGTTGAGTACTAATGAATAAACACATGAGGAGCTACTTAGAGTGCATATGTGGGGGAGGATGGCAGGTGGTGGTCCACCAAAAAGATAAGAATGAACAGTGCCTGAAACTTACATGGGTCCTAGAACTGTGCTTGCTTTCAAATGCCACAGTGGAAAACTTCATAATTCACAGGGCATCATTTAGCAGCACTTTTCAACAAAGGGCAATTCTGACTCCAGAACAAAGTTCAGGAATCCAAACACATGTGACATCCAAAAAATGTTAAAATCTGTAATGCCTGGCGCTTGATCAAAAATTACCAGGCATGCAAAGAAGCAGGATAATATAACTTATATTTTTATTTTTTAAGTGTATTGATTTATTTTGAGAGAGAGAGCAGGGGAGGGGCAGAAAGAGAGTGAGAGAGACAAAATCCCAAGCAGTCTCCACACTGTCAGCGCAGAGCCGGATGCAGGGCTTGAGCCCATGAACTGCAAGATCATGACCTGAGCATCAGTGAGCTGTGGGATTTCTTTAAGAGGACAAATATATATATATATACACACACACACACACACACACACATATATATGTATATATATGTATGTATATATATATGTATATAATTAGAATCTCTAAAGGGGGGTAGAGACAGGAAAAATATTTGTAGAAAACTGGCCAAAATGTTTCCAGATTTAATGAGAACTGTACATCCACAAATCTAAGAATACCAGAGAACCTCAAGCACAAGTAACAAGAAGAAAACTAAACCAAGGAACATTTTAATCAAATGGCTTAAAATCAGTGATAAAGATAAAATCTTAAAAGAAGGCTGTGAAAAAAGATAAGTTCAATCACAAAGATGAAGGTAAAAAGGATAGATGTCTCATCTAAAATAATACAAACAAGAAGACAATAGTACTTTAAAGTATTACATTAAAGTATGAAAATTTAAAAGGTATCAATCTACAGAATTTTTTGCCCAAGACAAATTTAAAGCAAAATAAAAACTACCAACCTAGAATTCATCAAAGACAGAGGTGAAAGAGACTTTTTTGAAAATTTAAAAAGCTCAAAGAATCCATCACAGCAGACTTCAACTATAAGAAATGATAAAGGAACATCTCCAAGTAAAGGAAATCAATACTAAATGAAAATCTGGGATCCACACAAAAGAAAGAAGAGCACTAAAAATGATAACTACATGGACAAATACATAATATACTGTTCTTATTATTTAGATATCTTTAAAAGACAACAGACGGTGTAAAGCAAACAAACAAACAAACTGATAATGTATTGTGGGGTTTATCATCTTTGTAGAAGTAAAATGTATGACACAATATCTCACGGACTGGGAGAAGAAAAATGGAAGTATATTTTCATAAGATTCTTATGTTATACATGAAACAGTATATGGTAAAGTCATGCTTGAGGGTAGACTACTGCACTTTAAAGATGTATATTATAAACTCTATAGCAACCACTATAATAACTCAATAAAGAGTTATAGCTAATAAGCCAACAAAGGACATAAAGGGAATTATAAAAAAAAAATACTAATTTAAGAGAAAGAAAAAGGGAACCCAGAACAGATGGGACAATTAGAAAACAAACAGCCAAGACAGGAAATTTAAACTTAACTATATCAATAATTACAAAATGTAAATGGTCTAAATAACTCCAATTAAAAAGCAGACATTGTCCTAATGGATAAAGAGAAAGATTCAACTATATGCTATCTACAAAAAACAAAAACAAAAAAAGCCCCACTATTTTAAAATGTTCATTTATTTATTTTGAGAGAGAGAGAGCAGGCAAGTGGGAAAGGGGCAGAGAGAGAAAGATGGGGGGCGGCGAGAGGGAGGGAGGGAGAGAGAGAGAGAGAGAGAGAGAGGGGGAAGGAAGATGAATGAGAATGAATCCCAAGCAGGCTTCACTGTCAGCACAGAGCCCAACACTAGGGCTGGATCTCGTGAACCAGGAAATCATGATCTGAGCTGAAATCAAAAGTCTGACACTTAACCAACTAAGCCACTCGGGCACCTCCCCCCTTTTTTCAATGGGAAAGGAAAACAAAACACGTTAAAGATACAATTTGGCAAATCTTATTTCTAAAACTATCTGGATCTAGAAGACTTATGATTGTTGATTATACTTTTTTTTAAGTGAAGTATAATTGATATATGACATATTAATTTCAAATATATAACAATGATTGAGTATAACATATTGATGTGTATATATTGTGAAATAACCACCTCAATATATCTTTTAAAAAAATTTTAATGTTTTGATTTATTTTTGACAGAGAGAGAGACAGAGCATGAGCGGGAGAGGGGCAGAGAGAGACACACACACAGAATCCGAAGCAGGCTCCAGGCTCTGAGCTGTCAGCACAGAGCCCGACATGGGACTCGAACTCACAGACCACGAGATCATGACCTGAGCCGAAGTCGGATGCTCAACCGACTGAGCCATCCAGGCACCCCACCACCTCAATATATCTAGTTAACATCATCTGATTATAGTCCTTGAACATTACTTATTTATGCAAGTTTTCCATTTCTTTTCAAGTCAATTTTGGTATTCCTTTAAAATTATTCATTTTCTTCTGTGTGTTCAGATTTGCTGATGTAAGTTTATAATACTGACTTGAAATCCATAATTTTTTATTACTAATATTTTGAGTCTTTCTTTTTCCCTGATTAGTAGAACTAAGAGATTTATCCGTTTGATTAATTTCTGCTCTTACTTTTATTATTTCCTTTGTTCTCTTTTATTTTACTATTCTTTTACTGGTCTTCTTAAGTTAAACATTTAATTAATTCTCTTTCCTCCCCTTTCTCTACTTTTCTTAATAAAAGAAAAAGACATAAGAAATGGTGATAATTGTCTAACACAGATATTTTTCAGTCCTAGTAAAAATATAAAAAGAAAGCAATAGAATATTTGAAAAGATAAAGACCAAGAATTTTCCAAAACTGATGAAAAACATTAACCTGGAATCAGAAGTACTTTAATCTCCAAAAATACCAAATATGATGAAAACCACCACAGGCACATTGTAGCAAAACAGCTGAGAACAAATAGAAA